GTGTGTGCTCTGTGTGCAGGAATATATTCAGATGCTGATGCCTCCATTGATTCAAAAATGGAACCAGCTAAAAGATGAAGATAAAGATCTCTTTCCCTTACTGGAGGTAGTTAACCACTTAATTTATATAAACTACTGTTAAAAAATTTGGGGTCAGTAAGAATGTATTTCATTTGATTTTTTTGAAGGAAATTAATACTTTAAGCCAGCAAGGACTCTTTAAATCAGTCAAAAGTGACAGTAGAGACATTTATAATGTTACAAAACATTATATTTCCAATAAATGCTTTCTATTCATCAAAGAATTCTGAAAAAATTTATCCACTTTCAAAAACAAACTTTTTTTTAACAATCTTGCTGAACCCAAACTTTTGAACAATATGTATGTGCGCACAAATAAACAATTTGGAAAAACCAGCAGAGAAAAACTATTTCAGCAGAAGTCACAGGAAATATTAGTATTGCTCTGAATCCAGCATTTTGATGCATGTACCTGATTATGACTCTATGTTGATTCCTCTTTCAGTGTCTCTCATCTGTGGCCACTGCCCTGCAGAGCGGCTTCCTGCCATACTGTGAACCGGTCTACCAGCGCTGTGTCAACCTGGTCCAGAAAACACTCGCCCAGGCTGTGGTGAGAAGCCACACAAATGCACACAAACCCCCTCATCTCTCGGTAATACTGTCAGCTTAAAAAAACTACTAGAGTGTGGAAAGGGTTGCAAAATAAGAAATGCTCATAATTTAGAATCAAAACAAGGATTGCTTTAATCCATCATAGTGAATATCACTTGATCTCTTTCTCTGTCTCACAGCTCCACCAGAGTCAGCCTGAGTTTCATGAAGCGCCTGATAAAGATTTCATGATTGTGGCTCTGGATCTGCTCAGCGGATTAGCGGAGGGTCTTGGAGGGAACATTGAACAGCTAGTTGCCCGTAGCAACATTCTCACTCTCATGTACCAGTGCATGCAGGTAACTATAGAGTATAGCAAGACATTGTAGCACTGAGGCATGGTATGTTTAACCTAATATATTTTATTTAATATACTTAATACATTTTATTTTAATATATTTTAAAATGTAAAGTATTCCTTTGATGGCAAACTGAATTTTCAGCAGCCATTACTCCAGTCTTTAGTGTCACAT